TGTTCTTTATTGTAAATTTGGGCAATTTTGAGTCTATTTTGGGTAAATTTTAAGTAATTCTAGAGAAACTCAGTCATTTTGGACGTGTTTTATTTCATTTTCAACAATTTTAAACCACTTTCACAAAACTTTTCTGTCATTTTCAACAAGTTTTAACTCTTTAAGAACGTCTAGGAGTCATTTAGGACAAGTTTCAGAGGAGGAAAACCTCGGAGGAACCTTGATTTACCACAGACGTTGGTGAAATTTTGCACATTTTTCCATTTTAATGAGCAAATAATTGAAGATTTATCCTCTGCTGGATCCATTCAGTCATTGTGATCTGCTGGAAACTATTCAATCTGTGTTGTCACCAAACCTAATGGCTGTGAAAGTTCTATTTCTGGAGATATTGAACCTTTAACATGACTTTCCAGGTATTTTGTGAGGGTGAAAATACAAAAATCCCCAGGTACTGACACATGAAATTCTCTAAATTCACCCCAAGAACATAGTTTTGAGTCCGAACCTATAAATACGTAAACTCTGAACCCAATCTGAGACGGTGCAGAATCTCCTCCAGCAGCTGTAGCATCAGTTCTGTGAGAGTTTGAGCTTTTGTTCTTCCTCCTTCTCGGCTCTCAGCTCTGTCAGAGATGCAGTCGGTGCTGCTGTCGGTGGCAAAGGAGAGGAAGTCCCAGAAGAAGCAGACGGTGTTCGTGGACGCTCTGCTTCAGTCGAGCCTCAGCGAGCGACAGGTGGCGACTCAAACGTCTTCACGGTTCCCACGAACGTCCCGACAAGCTCTGACGTTTGATGTGGTGTGTTTCAGATCATGGAGGACTGCATGGTGTTCACGCTGGCTGGATGTGTCATCACCGCCAACTGTAAGGGACCAGACCTCACGTCTTTAACCTGTTTCCACACGTCTTTGTGAAAACACTGCCTGCAGTTCAGCCAAGCTATTTGTTTTTTGTTTTTTACAGAGTCTGGTTTCTCCAATTGGGCTTTTTTTTGGCAAATTTTGAAACGAGACATGTGGGATGAAGTGATTTTGATCAAATATTACGATTTAAAGCTCAGATTAGGTTCATTTTCTGAAAAAACAGGCACATAACTGTCTTTTTTTAATGATACCATGACCTTGGAGCTCAGAATTCTTTGTTTTTTTTTACAGAATTTAGCTTTTAATTGTTCATTTTTATTTATTTTTTGTCATATTTTTAAATGACACACGTGGAATAAAGGGACTTTGACGAAATGTGATGATTTTAGGCTTAAATTTAGTTAATTTTCCTGAAAGAACATCACTTCACAGATGAGATTGTTCTTGTAGTTATGAGTCATTTTCTTTTGAAAAGATATCTTTAAGTTCAGAGCAACAAAACATTAAGCTGTGCCTTGATTTTAATTCTCTTAACTTCGTTTTAATACTTCTTTTTAATTACCTGCATGAAGGTTGTTATAACTTTAAGGTTAAGTCTGGAAGGAACGATCAGCATGAACCTCAGTCCTTGAGTTTATGAGGGTCTGCATGACATCAGGCCACCGAGAGCAGCAGTTAACAAGCTCAAAGTACATCAGTATTATCTCCTGTGCAACAACAGAGTCCTCACAGCAGGCTAGAAAAATCATACAACACCAACTACTGAAGAAATAACACAACAAAACCCTCCATTTCCAGCCGAGTCCCTGCGTGTGAAATGTCAACCGTTGTGTTCCTGCAGTGTGTATCTGGGCTCTCCACTTCTTGTCCACCTCAGAGGAAGTCCAGGACAAGTTGTACCAGGAGCTGCAGGACGTTCTGGGCTCGGATCCGGTTTCCCTCGACAAGATTCCTCAGCTCAGGTAGCATCACTGGACGGCAGGTTTTACGTAAAAGACGGACGTAGCCACCGTGGACGAAGCCTGGGGTTTGGAATTTAGCATCTTGGTTTTTTAAAATCAGATGTCACAAGAACTCAAAACTCCCACAACACACCCTGATTGATCTATTTGAATCTAACTTTGACCATAACTTACACAAAAGGAGACTTTAAACTATTGATTCACTCCATAAACTCGTGAAAATAATGTTTACTAAGGGAACAAATCAATGAGAAGTGGCTCATTTTCTCACTGACTTCCATGCAGCCAGACAGCAGAGGAGTCGCCCCCTGCTGGCTGGGAGACAGAATGCAGGTTTAAGGCTTCACGTTTCAGACCTGGAGGCTACATCTGTCTTTTATACCCCGTCTGGACCTGCACTTACACACCACATTTCTTTAATCAGACGTGGTTTCAGTAGCCTTGATGTGATCATGTTTCTGTTTTTGGGAAGATATTGCCAGCAGGTCCTGAACGAGACGGTGAGAACCGCCAAGCTGACCCCCGTCGCCGCCCGGCTGCAGGAAGTGGAGGGCAAAGTGGACCAGCACGTCATCCCCAAAGAGGTATCAGGTTTCCTGCTGTGGGTCTGTTAGCTGGTTGTTTCAGCCTGACAAGCTGTTTTATTTAATGAAGTCTTTAAGTGCAGGTTGTAGTTTTATATTTAGATTTTCTCACCTTTTGGTTCGAGCAGCTGAGGAGTCGCTGAACATCAAACATTTTCTGGGTGTTTTTCTCACACTGGGTTCATTTTTCACTGCAACATAAAGTCCTGCACAGCTATGGAAACAGAACAACCAGGACTAGAAGGAGAAGAAACTCAGAAATGTCGTCTGTGCAGGATGACAGAGTTATGACATAAATGATGGAAAAGAAAAAAAAGAAAGTTGATTTTTTTTTTTATTATTTATTGTACAAAAATGAAAAAACCTGGAACCAACAAGTGTCCACATGTGTGTCGAGAGGCTCCACATGTTATCGATATTTAACTGTTTTACTATGTTTTATTGGTTTCCATCCCTGCCTCCTCTCTGCTCTGTGCAAACACTGCCTGCAGTTCAGCCGAAAACTCTCGGAATTTTTCTCATGTGGCTGTAGCTCGTAGCTGAATCACTGAAACCTTCACAGTTGTGTTGAGGAATGCAGAATTTTTTGCTTTTTACACAATCTGGTCACTGGAAACTATTTATTTTTGGCACAATTTTAAAATGAGGCATGCAGAATATAGCGATTTAAATAAAATACAGTGATTTTAAGCTACAGTTTGATTATATCTCGCTTCATACATGATTAGTTCAAGGACTGTTGGAGAGTTTAATGTAAAAAGATAAGTATTTGTTCTGTTTTTGCAGTTTCTAGCCTGATAAATGGTCTCTCTTTGGTGATTTTTAAAAAATTTCGACCTGGTTTTAGGGTTTGGGATGAAACAATCTGTTGTCATGCCGTCATTTCTTCTGGGCTTCACACTGAAACACTGATTGTTGTCGTGTTTCAGACTTTGGTGATCTACGCTTTGGGAGTTGTTCTGCAAGATGCCAACACCTGGAACATCCCATACAGGTTCCCTCATTAGATATCTGACGTTTTAAAGTTCACATGTTCCTCAGTTAATTGTAAAAATGGCAGAAAAAAACCCTAATCTTGATCTAGATGTGTTGAATTTTTAAAAAATGATGAATTATTTTGGGTTTCTGTGATATATTCAGGTATTTTCCTGTGTTTACTAATGAATACAACGATGTCTGAAGTGTTTTTTTCCTCTTCAGGATGTCAAACACAGACAAAAGCGATATATTCTGAATGTGCAGAGCGGTTTAAATATGAATATTTGGGTTTAGAAATGAGTTAATTTGTCAAAGAAGAGTAAATCCTGCCCACATAGGTGTTCACTGAGCAGGGAGATAAAATGAGATTTACAGGAGAGAAGGTATTTAGAAGTTATACCCAGAGCCTTTCTGCATTATATCCCATTATATTTTGAATTAACACCAACGTTTTGCATAAATAAAATCATTTACAACCATAAACTAAAGCAGAAAAGAAACAAACTGCTGATAAATTCACTGGAAACTAAGTGTCTGATGCTCAGAAGTTTTTATGAGGAAGGTCGAGAGGAAAGTTTCTATTCTGGAGAAGATAAAGTCGAACACGCTGAACAGATGACAGTTTGACGGTTTAAGACCTGAAGTGTCCAGCCTCTGATTCTGTGTTTGCTCTGATGTCCGTCAGGTTTGATCCGGATCGATTTGAGGAGGAATCGGCCAGAAAGAGCTTCTGTCTGCTCGGCTTCTCCGGGAATCAGACGTGTCCGGAGCTCAGGTTAGAACACACAAACC